TTTCTTATATTTTCTCTATTGCTTTTATTTTATCTCTCTCATTTTATTCTAATTTATAGAAATTTCATCTTTGCATTTTTAATCTCTAAGTTTTTATTATTACTGATTTTTCTTCATTCTTTCTTTTTCTTTTTCTTTTTTTTTTTTTTTTTTTTTTTTTTTTTTGAGACAGAGTCTCTCTCTGTTGTCCAGGCTGGAGTGCAGGGGTGCCATCTCGGCTCACTGTAACCTCTGCCTCCTCAGTTCAAGCTATTCTCCTGCCTCAGCCTCCCGAGTACCTGAGATTACAGGCATGCACCACCACACCGGGCTAATTTTTGAATTGTTAGTAGAGACGGGTTTCACCATGTTTCCCAGGCTGATCTTGAATTCTTAACCTCAAGTGATCTGCCCACCTTGGACTCCCAAAGTGCTGGGATTACAGGTCTGAGCCACCGTGCCTGCCCTTCTTTCTTTTCTTTTTTTTTTTTTTTTTTTTGAGACGGAGTTTCGCTCTCGTTACCCAGGCTGGAGTGCAATGGCGCGATCTCGGCTCACCGCAACCTCCGCCTCCTGGGTTCAGGCAATTCTCCTGCCTCAGCCTCCTGAGTAGCTGGGATTACAGGCACGTGCCACCATGCCCAGCTAATTTTTTGTATCTTTAGTAGAGACGGGGTTTCACCATGTTGACCAGGATGGTCTCGATCTCTCGACCTCGTGATCCACCCGCCTCAGCCTTCCAAAGTGCTGGGATTACAGGCTTGAGCCACCGCGCCCGGCTCTTCTTTCTTTTCTAATGTGAAGGGAGGCCTATGTAGACAAGCTACTGGGCCTTATCCTTCTTAAAATACTCCCTTTCAGGTTTTTGCTTGGGATCAGTCTCCCTGCTTTAAGAAAGGGAGGGGATTCAGATAAGAATCTCTCTCTGAGAGGCCTCACCAGTATAAGAATATACTGCCCTACTTTGTGGGGAGAGGAAACTTGGGATGATTAGCCTGGGAAAAAAAAAAAAAAAAGACCAAATAGACCCATTATAGCTGTCTTCAAGCATTTGACGTGGAGTTGTTTTTGGACTTATTCTCTGGAATTGGTAAAGGTCAGAATTAGGAATAATAGATAGAAGTTACAGAAAAGTAAATTCTGACTGCTAAAAATGAGAGGAGTCCAGCGATGGAATGTACTATCTTGACATGTATTGATTTTTCCATTGCTGGAAGAGCATTAAGAGAGAAGGCAAGAGTGGTTTAGAGGGTGTTCTTGCTTTTAATACATATCAGATGCAACAACTTCTCAGGTCTGAATTCCTAGAATCTATGCTCAAAAGCTTAAAGAAAAAATGGCTCTGTATTTCCAAAACCAGAGTTTTTCAAATATTATTTTTAAAGAAGCAGAAAACTTTTGAAAACGAAAAGCTTACATGCAACTCAATGTATCAAACAGATCAAAATGGAGCTTCTCAGTTCAAAGTGAGAAGGAGGCCGGGCATGGTGGTTCATGCCTGTAATGCCAGCACTGTGGGAGTCTGAGACGGACGAATCACTTGAGGTCAGGAATTCAAGGACAGGCTGGCCAACATGGTGGAACCCCATTTCTACTAAAAATACAAAAATTAACTGGGCATGGTGGCACACATCTGTAGTCCCAGCTACTTGGGAGGCTGAGGCAGGAGAACTGCTTGAATCCTGGAGGTGGAGGTTGCAGTGAGTCGAGATCGTGCCACTGAACTCCAGCCTGCATGACAGCGTGAGACTCTGTCTCAAAAAAACAAAGTGGGAAGCACGGCGCAGATCTCTGCCTTTTCAGCCTCCCTCAGTTCCCTGATTTTGACCTGAGAACCAAGTAAGTTTCTTACAGTTGCATTCAAAACACTTTAAAAATCTTATCTCTATGCAATGGTCTCACATTATATGGTGCAGTAACTGGCAGCTGTGGCCAGGCGGTATCATCATTATTTCCAGATGGCTTGCAGGTGTTCCTGCCACCACTCTTCAGTTCACAGGGCTCCCTTGCCTGAGCACTCTTTTACACCCTTTCCGTCTCCACCATTTCTCTGAAATCTATTCTTCTTCAAACCTTGGAGAAGGTCCTCCGTGAACCTCTCCCTGAATACCTTGGCCTTTGGGTGGTTGTTCCCATGCTCTGTTCTACTGTATGTATTGCTTGAACCCCGGAGGTGGAGGTTATAGTTATATATACATACATTTATATAATTTATTAAGTATATAATTTAATTTACTTGTTTATATAATAAATCAATAAATCAATAATTTCTATTATATAAATTTATTAATTTATATAATAAATATACAAAGTTATTAATTTATATAATCAATATATAAATTTATTTATTTTGATTAGACACAGCCTACTTGGCAGCATTTTTATGCATGTGGCCATTCTGCCTGACCACTGTGATGATATATTTGGTAGTCATTAAGACTGTTCATCGCTGGCACGATGGCTCACACCTGTAATCCCAGCACTTTGGGAGGCCGAGGCCGGTGGATCACCTGAGGTCAGGAGTTCGAGACCAGCCTGGCCAACATGGTGAAACCCTGTCTCTACTAAAAATATAAAAATTAGCCAGGTGTGGTGGCAGGTGCCTCAAATTCCAGCTACTTGGGAGGCTGAGGCATGAGAATTGTTTGTACCAGGGAGGCAGAGGTTACAGTGAGCCAAGATTGTGCCACTGCACTGCAGCCTGGGGGATAGAGTGAAACTCTGTCTCCAAAAAAAAAAAAAAGACTGTTCATCAAATATTCTGGATTTCTGAGTTTTTCAAAGGTTTTATTTTATTGTGGCAAGGACACATAACAGGTTGAGATCTGTTTTAAAAATTTTTCGTGTTCAATACATTATTATTGACTCTAGGTACAATGTAGTACAGCAGATTTCTAAAACTTTAATTAAAAAAAATTTTTTTGAGACAGGGTCTTACTCTGTCATCCAGGCTGGAGTGCAGTGGCACGATCATGGCTCACTGCAGCCTCCACCTTTTTTTTTTGTTTTTTGAGATGGAGTCTTGCTCTGTCGCCAGGGTGGAGCACAGTGGTGAAGTCTCCACTCACTGCAAACTCCGCCTCCTGGGTTCAAGCGATTCTTCCGCCTCAGCCTCCCAAGTAGCTGTGACTACAGGCGCGTGCCAAACGCCCGGCTAATTTTTGTATTTTTAGTAGAGACGGGGTTTCACCATGTTGACCAAGATGGTCTCAACCTCTTGACCTCCCGATCCACCTGCCTTGGCCTCCCAAAGTGCTGGGATTACAGACGTGAGCCATCGTGCCCGGCCAGCCTTCACCTTTTAATCAAGAGATCCTCCCATCTCAGTACCACCTCCTCACCATCCCTGAGTAGCTGGGACGACAGGGGCATGCCACCATGCCCAGCTAATTTTTTATTCTTAATAGAGACAAGATCTTGCTATGTTGCTTAGGCTGGTCTTGAACTCCAGAGCTCAAGGGATCCTCCTGCCTTAGCCTCCCAAAGTGCTGAGATTACAGGTGTGAGCTACTGCACCTGGCCTCTAGAACTTACTCATCTCAACAGAAACTTTCTGCCCATTGATTAGTACTTCCTCACATCCCTTACTCTCCAGCTCCTGATGAGCATCATGCCACTCTTTGCTCACATAAATTTGACTGTTTTAGACACCTCATGTAACTAGAATCATGCAGCATTTGTCTTTCTGTGAAGGCTCATTCATGTCATCACGTATTGCAGGATTCCCTTATATTTAAAGACTGAACAGTATTCCACTGCGTATATATACCACATTTTCTTTATCCATTCATCTGTCCATGGACATTTAGCTTGTCTCCACATCTTGGCTATGGTCGATAATGCCAATGAACGTGAGTGTGCAGATATCTCTTTGAGATGCTGATTCAGTTTATTTGGATATATATCCAGACATGGAATGGCTGGGTCATACAGTAGTTCTATCTTTCATTTTTTGAAGAACCTCGGTACCATTTTCCATAGTGGCCACACTACATTCCCGCCCAATGTGTGCAAGGGTTCCATTTTCTCCACAGCCACGTCCATGACTGTCTTTTGTCGTTTCGGTAATTCTGGCTTTCTGCGTTCGAAGCCTATTGCGGGATTGTACTTTTGGCCCTCTTGTGGTTGAATGGTACCATGTCACTGTTGTAGCCAGTTAGTTATGAGGTGGTTACATTTTACTTCCAAGGTCAGGGCATATAATGGCCAGTTCAAGACTCTCTAGAGCTCTCTTTCCCTCTGCCATGGTGATTAATACCCAATGAGTGGCTACTCTGGCAGTCTGGGTTCCACGCTGAGGTATGGGGCAGTGTTCCCAGCCAGCCTTCAGTGGATACACAGCGTGTATGGAAAATAGACAAACAGACCTTTGTTCTTAGAAGCCACTAAGATTCTTCTTCTTTTGGTTACTGCAGCATACCCTAGTTTATCTTAACAGAGCAGGCTGTTAGAGGACAATATCCTTACTGCTCTGAATTCCTGGTGCTCGGGAGAGTGCTCTGTACATAATAGTACTTAATCAAGATTGGATTTATTTAGAAGACATTTCTCGTGTGTGCTTTTGAGGGATATGAAGCTTATTTAAAAATATTTGTTTTTCATTTTCCTCAATACGTGGTAAGCATGTTAGGGACAGAAACCTTCTTGAACATTTCTGCCCTCACCTCCCAGAACCTTAGTCCTTAGTCCATAGGCAACTTACAGTGGCCTGGGTAGCTTTGGATGTGGGGTAGTTAGAGAAAGGCCCTTGAGGAGGGATGAGAAGCTGATCTGGCATGAGGAGAGCAGCGGTTCGTTCCCGGACAAGAAGACAAATGAACGATTGAGGGAAAGAGCAGCTTCTGGAAAGCTTTGGCAACAGTAAAGATAAGAGGCCAGTGAAGAGATCCCGGGAGGGACAAGGAGAGCCAGGAAAAGGGATAAGCTTGGAAATGTGTTCTGATAAAAAGCCGGGCATTTATCCTCTTATCTTTCACCAGTGCCTAAACAGTTACATCGAATACACTCCGGATGCAAGGGAGAGCTGTCCTTGAGCCTGGACTCTGGGTGAGCTCTCTGGGTCTTAGACTTGAGGTACTAAGTTTTGAAATTTTCAAACTTGAAAATCACAGTAAGTGGAGAGATCTCTGAGCTACTGCCCATCCTAGTGTCGCTTGCATTGAACGTTGATTATGTTGACAATGAAAAGCCAGGAGAGCTTCAAAAAGGAAAGAGGTCAATAGCCAAATGTTCCAAGAAGTCAAGGAAGGTGTGAATTTGTAGTAAATAGCAATAACTTATCAGAGGCTTTCTGATTATCAGAGTTATCCGCGGCTTTCCCTTACACCAGGCACCGTTCTGTGAGCTTTACAAGTTTTACCTAGTTTAATTTTTAATCCAGTGTACTCGACCCCTTCACAGCAAACCCCCACTGTCAGTAGCATCACCTCCATATTAGAGACAATTAAACTCAAGTTCAGAGACGTTAATTAACTTGTTCAAATTCACATGGCTAATACGTGGCAAAGTGAGGATTTGAACCCAGATTTGTCTGACTGCAAAGCTTGGATTCTTTCCATTACCCCACATTACCCCTAGTGATAGATTGTCAAACATCATGTCAGATAAATCAAAGAAAAAAGCCCAACATATTCATTACCATTGCTAATTACACATAGCACCAGGAGCCAGAGAGTTGGAATATAATAGAACCCCAGAAAATCTCCAAGCCTTATTTGAGCCTGAAGTTTCATTTTCTTTGCCCACTACCCTCCAACGCTTCCGACCCGCAAAGATTACTAAGAAGTGACATGTAAATATATTTCCTTTCCTGCTTCAGTGCTCGCAGCAGGGAACTAACCAGAAGTGGGTGGACGAAATCTGAGAAGGGAATAGAAGGGTGCTGCGCAAACTCTCCAACTAGGGTCACTTACGGTTTATGAGTCAAAGCAAGAGTCAATGGCCAGGCAGGGAACAGGTTCAGAGTTTTCTGAAAAAGAAAGATAGATCTTAGCGTTATTGTATGAAAAAGCACTTGGCTGTTTCCTGATCTATCTGCTGGCCTTATGCATAAGTTAGCCATTCCTATGTAACATTCCACGCCAAAACTCAGTGGCTTCAAACAGCAATCTTTTCTATTTGGCTAGATTGCTCTGCTTGAGGCTGGAGTGACTGGTGCAGCTCTATTTCTCACTGTAGATTTGTAAGTCACCTGGAGTAGCTCTGCCCCACATAGCTCTCATCCTCCTTGGACCACTGGGGCATGTTCTTCTCATAGTGACGGCAGAGGCACGCAGGTGAAAACATTCATCATCTCTTAAAACCTAGGCTCAGAACTGGCACGATGTCACTTCTGCCCATATATCACTGGCCAAAGCAAATCACATGCCAAGACCAAGCTGAAGGGACAATAAAATAGAGTTCTCCTCTAGGATGAATCCTTGACAAATGTGTGAATCCAAGTGGGTGGGGTGAAGTAGGGCCAAGAAGGCAATCCACCATTTCTTATAAGAAGGACCAGGCTGGGCATGATGGGTCATGCCTATAATCCCAGCATTTTGGGAGGCCAAGGCGGGATAATTGCTTGAGACCAAGAGTTCGAGGTTGCAGTGAGCTATGATTGTGCCACTGCACTCCAGCTTGGGTGACAGAGCAAGACTCTATCTCAAAAAAATAAACAATAATAAAAAAGAAAGACCACAACAATAATTAGTGGCTTTGCTTTTGCTCCTATGAGGGCGCAATTTGTTCCTATTAAACATGTTCTGTTAAAAGTAAGGGCTGTGGCTTTCCTGCTCATTCCACTCCGTGAATACGGACATTCTAGTTTCCAGTGGTGATGGCCGTGGAGATATTAAGGCATTTCCCCTTGCTCTGCCCTTCATTTGGTATTCTGGTAAAGAATCACCAACACTTGGGGCATCCTAAGATGTCCTTGTTGCTGGGAAGAATCCAAAGCGCACAGAAGTGTCACTCCTTTCTGTCTCATCTGGTTTTTTGGGTCTTTTTTTCTCATTAATAAAAAATAAATTAGTGATCAAAATACTTTCCCCCTTCTCGGTTCTCCAGCTGTATTATAAAATTCTTCAAAGGCAAGACTCTGTCTTCTCTTCATTAACCTCCCTTCCCCGCTCTCCCAGCCTCCTCATTCAGTGTGGTTGATACCTTCCTTGCCTGCCTGTCTGATCTCAAATGACTGTTCTCTTTCTGGTTGACTGAACATGGCTCTGCCATGCTCCTCAGGGCGATAAATACCAGTCTGGACTGCCCAGAATGGAGTTCTCTGTTTTTCCAGTTGAGAAGCCTCCTATCCCTCTCTAATCACTCGTCATTCATGAAGCTCCTTCTTCTGGTTTTCACTGTTACCCTGCTCCTGGCCCAGGTCACCCCAGGTAAACAGGATCTCCAGAAGGGGATGGGAGTCAGGGAACCTGATGCATGTTCAGAGAACTCTGGGAGCTCTGACAGGTTGGGTTGGGAGAATGGCCTGGTAGAGTTCACTGAGGCCTTTAGGTAGTCTCTCTAGTCATGGGCAAGTTTGAGTTCTCTGGTACCAACTGGTCTTCCCAGTGCACATTACTTGATCACTCCAACCTTATTTCTGGTTGGCTCTGGAGAATTTGAACATGATGAGCTGAGGGTGGGATAGGGTGTAAAGAGAGAGACTTGGGTATGGAGCATAGAGAAAATGAGGACTTTTTCAAAAAAATTGCTTGCAAGGATTTGAATTTTGAGCTACCATTGCCTCTAGGAAAATGGTTCTCAAGTTTCTGATTGTTTGAGGATTCCGATTCCACTTTTTTATGCAGCCCCAAATTATGTGGGTTATCTTAGGTTGTAGATTCCCCAGAGTGGCTGTTCCTAATTCCCTAGAGAAAAGTCCCAGGATGTGATGAAGAAGGCAGTATAATATCCTTGAGAGTTCTGCAGATGCCACAGAAGCCTTACAGATATTCTCATTTGTGTATTTCATATTCCTGTCACCTTTCATTGATATGGTCAGAGAGGGTACTGAAGTATATAAAGAAAAGGTGGCTAATTGCTACTAGGCACCTAGGTACATTATAATATGGGGGAGATAAAACCCTGGAGAGAGGGTCCTCTTCCCTCTCCTGAGGAGCTGGCCAAGGAGGAGAAGCAACGCAGTAGGTCCCATGCCACTGAGCTGGGGGCGGGGGGAGTTCTGGGGGTCCTAATGGGGGCACAAGTGGAAGAAGAAAGCATAGTGGTCTACAATCTCCCTTAAACGTAGGGGATCCTGTGTAAGGGCGTCTTCCTCACAGATCTCCTCCTTTCCTTCCTACTTCTCTACTGGGCTTTAGCCTCTCCCTTTGCCACCCTTCTGCTTTCTTTCAAAACTGACCCTGCTGTCTTCTTCCTTTTTGTTTTCAGTCATGAAGTGTTGGGGTAAGTCAGGCAGGTGCAGAGCAATGTGTAAAGAAAGTGAAGTATACTATATATTATGCAACACTGAGGCTAAGTGCTGTGTGGATCCCAAGTATGTACCTGTAAAACCAGAATTAGCAAACACAAATGCAAGCCTGGAATCAGCGTCTGCAGTCTGACATCTCTCTTCCAACCTGGAGTCTCAGCATCCTGCGATTCCCACAGTTCAATTAAACCAGTCTTGGCACTATCCTGTTTCTGTCTGATAGTTCCACCTAGTTATATTTAGAAACAAGTAAATACAGAAGAAAGGAGAAAGAGAGAGAGAGAGGAGAGAGAGGAGAGAGAGGAGAGAGACAGTGTGAGTGTGTGTGTGTGTGTGTGTGTGTGTACGCATGTGGGTGCATGCACTGTTAGGAAGGACAAGATGGACCAAGTAGGTGGTAATAATCTAAACTTTGCAAATAGCTCCTAGCCTGCGGACCGATAGCTGGTCCCAGAGGATATAAATTAAAGAATATTAATCATGTCCATTTGATTTCCGTTTTCTTCTAGACCAGCACTGCCAATAGAACATTATGCCATGATGGAAATGTCTCCTATTTGTGCTGTTCAATATGGTAGCTACAAGCCACATGTGCTACCCAGCACTTGAAATGTGCCCAGTGTGAATGAGGACCTGAAGTTTTAATTTGATTCAACCTAGCTTTTTTTTTTTGAGACGGAGTTTCGTTCTTGTTGCCCAGGCTGGAGTGCAATGGCATGATCTCGGCTCACCGCAACCTCCGCCTCCTGGGTTCAGGCAATTCTCCTGCCTCAGCCTCCTGAGTAGCTGGGATTACAGGCATGTGCCACCATGCCCAGCTAATTTTTTTTTGTATTTTTAGTAGAGACGGGGTTTCACCATGTTGACCAGGATGGTCTCGATCTCTTGACCTTGTGATCCACCCTCCTCGGCCTCCCAAAGTGCTGGGATTACAGGCTTGAGCCACCGCGCCCGGCCGATTCAACCTAGCTTTAAATTTGTATAGCTAAATGTGGCTAGTGGTTTTTGCATTGTACAGCATGGCTTTAGAGTCTAGACTGAGGCAGGCTGTGGGTCTCAATCTATGAGTATTTTAGAGGAGTCCAGGAGGCAAGCAAGAGTCTATGATGAACACAAGAGCCCATTGTTGGCCCAGGGCTTCTCTCTATTCTCACACCGATGGCTTTAACTATCCCTCAATTACACCTGCAGTCTGCCCCTCGGGGGCTCCAGCGTGTTGCCTCTTGTGAATCTTCCTCACCGTGGAGGGTTCTGGCATCAGGCGCCGTGTGGACCCTTGCTCCATCTCTTTCCATTCCCTCCATTTGTGGCCATGGGACATTAAACTGCTGGCCGATTATTTTCCAGAACTGATCCTGAACCGAGACCACAGGAATTTTACCACATTCAGCCCCGTGATCCCAAGTATCCCCCAACTCTTGCTATTTATCTGACTAATCAAAAATAACTTGATTCTTTTTTTTAAATTGTACTTTAAGTTCTGGGGTACGTGTGCAGATTATGCAGGATTGTTGCATAGGTACACACACGGCAATGTGGTTTGCTGCCTCCATCTCCCCGTCACCTACATCTGGCATTTCTCCCCATGTTATCCCTCCCCGACCACCTCACCCCCCTGCTGTGTTTTATCCTGTGTTTAAAAGTTCTGTTTGAAGTCACCTGCCTCCTATTCAGCCCTTTCATATTGGAGTCCTGACCTGGCTTCAGCCTTATGTCCCCAGTTCACCTTCCTGATGACAAACTTCAGCCTCAGTGTCGATGTCTAAGTATCACCAAAGCTGTCTAGGGAAGACCATTCGATACAGGATCCGAAGACCTGGGGTCAAATCCTTGCCTCATCACATGTCAGCTGCATGACCCTAGGCAAGCTATTTAACCCTCTCTGCTCTATTTTCTCATCTCTAAAATGCGGAACCTTCCTACTCAAGGCATAGGGTTGTCATGAGAATTAAATGAGATAACAGACAGGGAAGCGCCCACCACAGAATCTAGTGCACATTCAGTTCTTGATAAAAATGTAAGATGAATCTAGGCTGATCTCATTTTGTAATTTTCTGCTTTTAGGTTCTGCACAGCAACTCTCTGCCTGGAAAAAGTTAGATCCTCCTTCACTATGTTGTCACCAGCTCTTACTTCTCAGAGTTAATAACTTATAAAGTCGAAGTAAAGCCCTGTACGCTACCATTTTTTCACTAGTTGTCTTGCCCTCCTGATTCAACTTTTGCGCAGGCACCCAATTGTCGGAGCCTGGGTCATGCACTTGTCTGCCAATTCTCAAGGTGGCGTAAGAGAATATTTGCCTTTAGGGCATTCTGTAGTGGAAAGTCAGCCTTCCTTTCCACCAAGACTACAAGAATAGAGACTAGCCTCCCAAACAGAAAGGAGTTCAGATGCTGAGTGTCCAAAGATGCAGTAAATGACAACTATCAGAGGATATTACCTCGAATATTACACCAAAATATTTTCCACTACACCTTAGCCTTTCTGATAGCCAGGGCCAGGACTAGGGTGAGGAGAAGGAGGTGCCTAGGGTATGATACATACGGAGGCACTCACTCTCAGGGGTGTGCAAATGCCTCCTTAAATGTCACCCTTTAGGTATCTGTTGCAATTCTCACTTCACCCTGGACCTAGCCTTGCTAATTGCATCCTGCACGTCACCTTTGCAGCACCCACCACACCTGTACTTAACCTTCACTCAGCATCCATTTTCATGATAGACTGTAATCTCCATGAAGACATAGACCATGACTGATTCATTCTCTGTACCTGGAATAGAATCTGGCATATATTGCATATTCAACCAATAGTAGTTGAGCAATTGATGGGCTAAATGAGATATATAAGTAGCTTTAAAAAGACAGCAGAAATGTCCTCACAAGAAAATTCCTTCTTTCAGATTTATTCACATTAGAAGAGTGTTTGATATTCAATGGGCACAGAATAATACTACAATGCTTATTCAAAATAGAAGATGAGACACTTAACAGAGATAGGTGGCAGTCACCTCCATCACTGTGACGGTCACCAGTCAATGATTTCATTATCAATGAGTAGATTGAGAGTTGTGCTTTCAAGCCAGGTGTGGTAGCTCATGTCTGTAATCCCAGCATTTTGGGAGGCTGAGGCAGGCAGATCACCTGAGGTCAGGAGTCTGAGACCAGCCTGGCCAACATGGTGAAATCCTGTTTCTACTAAAAAAATCACAAAAATTAGCTGGGTGTGGTGAGGTGTGCCTGTAGTCCCAGCTACTCGGTAGGCTGAGGCAGGAGAATCGAACCTAGGAGGTAGTGAGCCAAGATTGGGCCACTGTACTCTAGCCTGGGTGAGAGAATGAGACTCCATCTTGGAAAAAAAAAAAAGGCAAAATATTCCTTCATTGTCTGTATTCCCATTTAAAAGCAAGGACATGGCTGGGTGTAGTGGCTCACATCCATAATCCTAGCACTTTGGGAGGCCTCAGCAGGCACGTCACTTGAGGTCAGGAGTTCTGGCCAACATGGTGAAACCCAGTCTTTACTAAAAATACAAAAAAATTGGCCAGGCGTGGTGGCAGCCACCTGTAATCCCAGTTACTTGGGAGGCTGAGGCAGGAGAATTGTTTGAAACCAGGAGGCGGGGGTTGCAGTGAGTGGAGATTCAACCATTACACTCCAGCCTGGGCAACAGAGCAAGACTGAATCTCAAAACAACAACAACAACAACAAAAACAAGGATACATGGTAAGTTGTTCAGTCTTGTGTATTAATCAGATCAACTATATACATATATTTAATGTTTTTTTACATAAACATTTTGGCAGGGCGATGTATCAAGAATTTAGATAGCAATTACCTGATAATTTTTTCCCTCATTTTGTTTGAACAGGCATCAGCAAAAAGAATCCAAAAATATTTTTCTATTCTATTTTTGGAAAGGAATTCAGTACTTTGTATTTGAAATCCTGGCTTTTCTTCTCTACTGGGGAATTGAAAATGGTGTGTGTGTGTGTGTGTGTGTGTGTGTGTGTGTGCGTATGTGTGTGTGTGTAGGTCAGGGGACACAATGAAGACGATCCTTGCCATTTTTCATTTGGGAGGCCCAGGCACAAAGGGGGTAATTAAATTGTATGGTTTTCAAACACTGCATGTTCTCACTCATAAGTGGGAGTTGAACATGGACCCAGGGAGGGGGACATCACACACGGGGCCTGTTGGAGAGTGGGGGACAAGGGGAGGGAGAGCATTAGGACAAATACCTAAGGCACATGGGGCTTAAAACCTAGATGATGGTTGATAGGTGTAGCAAACTACCATGGCATATGTATACCTATGTGTGTGTATATAGGTGTACATGTGCCGTGGTGTACATGTTCTGCACATGTACCCCAGAACTTAAAATAAAAATGTATAAAACTTTCAGAAGAAAAATCGTATAGTTTCAGGAGAAGTGAGATGAGGAATTTTAGCTTGAAGGTCAAAAGAGAGGAGTGTTATGCATCTAAGGGTGTTGAATTTCCTCAGAACTGGGAGAGGAAATGGGAGTTTGGTTCCAAGGGAGTTTGATGAAGCACTCCAAACTGCTACTGCTACCCCACGGTAGCGAGTGCTGGATGGGGTTGCCTGCATGGGAGGCAGTCACTGTGGAGACAGCCACTGTGGCCGGAGCCCTGGGAGGAGCAGCAAAGGCCTTGATGGCTGTGCCGATGGTTGGTGGAGGTAGCCATGGTGAAGAGCAATTTTCCAGCTGCCCAGAACTACCCAATGAACAGCAATGGAGCCCATCCGCAATATCCCAACCATGAAGAGCAAGGAAATAAAGATCATCATCATGGAATAAGGACCAGATCCTTCCCCGTTTCCCAGAACCATCGGGTCCTAGTGGGATCAAGCGGAGGATGGCATGAAACCCCAATAATAACTGATGTTGGACCTCTCACTAACTTTGACAAGTAGTGTCTTGGAGATGCACTTAAATAAACAAGTAAATACAGCATTTCCTGAGGCTTGAGTATGTGGGGCATTCATAGCTCGTATGTGATTGTTACTATTTTAATGATTGTAGAAGAAATATTCTTACTAGCATTTATCTTTTCCCATGAACACTGCTTGAAATAGGACACAGTTGGGGATATGCTGGTGTGGAGGATTTCTCTGGAATCCAGCCACTCTAAAATAGTTGCATCACACTTTTATGCAAACTGGGTCCTCATATTATCTTTC